ACAATATGTCTTTAATCTCAAAAATCAATTTTGCTAGATGGTTTAATGAATATATGTTAGAATTAGATAATGTATTATGATCTATCAATTACCCATTATGTATTTTCCCACCCTAATTAAGGATATATTTATCCATCACTTGGGTTTATTATACTCTAAAGAAAGGTGGTAGATTTAATGAAATTAAGTGAATAAAGGTAATAGCTATTAGCTTATTAATATGGTGATAATAGTTGCACAACGGGATTTAAGCATGCTCTTAAATAAACCATTAATATGTTTACTTAAAATGCAAAATTTCTCTATAAAATCAGTTATCAGATACAATTGAACAGTTCTATCTTAAAATATAATTCATTAGCATAAATGTTCTTGTACTAAGCTCTTATAAATAGAGGGATTTCGAATAATTCTACTAAATGGGAAGACAGTAAGGGGGAGGACGAATTGTTCTGTCAAATGCAGATACTGAAGTAGAAATGAAAATTGATATTGAAATGAGAATTCAATACTAATGGTAGATTCGCAAACATTTTGTTCAGTTATGCGTCTGAATTTTCTCCTCGTTTTTAACAAATATAATTAAAATCAGACCTTTTTTACTCCAGTTATCGTGCTAACGAACGCATATATAAATATAATTTTAGTAAATATAAGTAGGCCTACCCTTTTTCTTTCTTTTTAATTTCATATATATATTTATGAATTTGTGCAATTGGAGTTTCTGGTCTCTGGGAATCTTAAAACGAAAAATTAAGTCGGTCCCGAAATTGTTACCATGAGATCTCCGGTAATAGCTAATCATTCCCTATGTGGGATATTCGCAAATAATACATTAGAAGTTATTTTTATATTTACCGTTATTATGATCTTAACTTTATTGTATAAGAAAAAAAGTAAATTCTAATTTGTTCTTATGGTAGAAAATACTCACTTTCTTTTATTATACCGTTTGTTTTGTTGGAAACTCTTAATAGCACTACAAAAAAGTTAGTCTTAGTTTATTAAATTTGCATGTTAACTGTAATGTATTTACAATAATTAACTGCTTCACAAACAACTAGATAATGTTTTCCAATCGCAATTACATAATTTTGTACTATTAATAGATTCTTGTTTGGTCACCACAATTGCATAATCGTAACACTTACTAGAAATATAATAATAATTTTAGATTTAAAAGTCGATATTGCTAGTTTAATCACATATAAATATCAGAAAATTGAATATTTTTGTAGAATATGGAACCTTTAAAACCAAATGATCATTGTTTAACAGTCATTTAACGTTATTGTGAACTATTATCGGGTACACCACGTAAACGTGATATTTTACATAAATGGTTTCTCATTTCAATAGCAGTTATTTTAATGTTCAGTCTACGTGATTATTGCAGTTAAGCTTTTGTCAACATTATAAGCGCCATAATATTGCACTTATAAATTAATCTATGACGTTTACGTGATTTTTAACTAAATTAAGAATGTTGATACTGTTCCATTATTCTAAAACATATGCAAACATTCCATGGAATAGGTTAATTTACTGAATTATCTATATTAATGAAATCATAAATAATTAACTTAAATATATTTTCACCACACTATGATGTTTTTGGCTGTATTACATACGTTAATTGGTGGCTGAAAGTTACGTTTTGCTGGCCATGCCAGCTGTCACCAATTTGGGGACCAAGCAGGTTTTTACAGGCCGGGGCCGCAAAATCAGCTGTCCGCTAACTTACTTCGAACATGAATGCGTTTTAAATACACAATCAAAATCCATAGTATTGCAATATAGAATTGTGTTATTGTCACCGTTGCCTGGCAACTATTTATTTATATTTTTGCTGATTCCTCAAATTATTTCTTAACCTTAAAGTTGTAGTTGTGTTGACTATCAGTGTGCATTATTATAGTGGTGAGTAGTGGTAATAGGGTATAGTGTGGTGAAAAATAGCGTTCGTACCACGGACCGAAATGGTTTTGCAGCTCTCGATCGATTTAAGTTCTCGACTTCGTCTCGAACTTAAAAACTATCTCGAGCCGGCAAAACCTCATTTTCGGCCCTTGGAACGAAATATACTATAATAATTTAATTGCAATAAATGATTTTAATCATTGCATGCCATCAGTCTCACACTAAACATATTGAATTAAAGGTAACACAATAAAACGCATAATTGAGGGGAAAATCCTAACAGATAAGTTCTCAGCAATGAAAAAGGTTGTACAGCAGTTTTATGGATACTTTTATATATTTTACATAATAATATTGCATGTATGACATTTATATTTCAATCGAAACACGAGTATATGAAAATGTTGTTGAAATAGGACACAGCTACAATTGTTGTCCTGTGTGTGTATCAATGAGTACACAAAACTTCAACTGTAGGTCTATCTATGTATGAGTGGATATGAACGCAAACGGTTATTGTCCCTTTGGCCTATTTGATAACGTAAGAGCTATGGTTTGTACTGAATATGCCTGAGGCTTAGTTGGGCTTAAAAACAAAATCGGAGTTATACAAAGCTTTTTTTACAACGATCTATTTTGTTATAGTTTCAGCTAATGATTCGTGATATTTAAAAATCTTTTTTATTTGTTGATTATTATTTTTTTGGATCATCTTCAAAATGTGATATAAGCACGCATTTTATAGTGGAGTGTATAGTAAAGAAAAAAGAATATTTTTAATCATTTAATGAAATATTTAATTGAAAATCAGGAGGATACCACCAGGTAACTACTGGAGTAGTAAGAAAAACTTGAACATTAAAAGGATAAGCCCAACCTTCCCATTACTTAAAATATTTTTTGAATTAAATAATTTAATCCTCTTCACTATCCAGGCTAAAACGTAATTTGTAAATTTTTATAAGACATTAAAATATTTTTTTTAAATATTTAGCATTAAACATAAAAGTATTTTTTTTTTTTTATAAAATATTTAATTTTTTTTATATTTTGCATAAATTTTTTTTATATTTATTGTAAAACAATTGAATATTTAGTATACAATATATTTTTTGTATATTAATTATAAAACATTATTTTTTTATTTAAATATATAGTTAAAATATTTTTTAACGATACAACGATGTATAAACTTATAAACCTAGAGACCAACAGTTTACACCTTTCCTGAAAAACACCTTATCTCATGGTTGAGTTATAAATCAAACAATCTAAGCCCGATTCAAGGGACAAGGGACAAAAACAACAAAGGGATAAAAGGGCAAACATTTCGCTGCCAAAGAACGACTAAGCCCAGGAAGTAGGAAAGGGCGCAAAACACATGTAAGCTTCATAAACCCGGGTTGTGCAACCGCGAAAAAACTACCCCAGGTGGAAATCTGTGAGTAATGGAGGGAAGGGAGGAAGCGCCAGTGATGCAGGGGTGGGGAAAGTTTCCCTGGAACGGGACTTTTTATTCTGATGATAAACTTTTTCTTTGAGTATTGAATACGAAATAACATTTGTTTATTTTTCTGGCTAGAGCAAAATTGCTTAATTTTATTAAACTTATGTTCTAAACTCTATCTTAGTATTTTACATAATTTTATATTCAGTATCACAATAGCTGTGTGTCCCAAAATTAACGGACAAACTCCAGGAAATTGTACTACGGGTAAAGAAAACCAAGAAAATATGTTTCAACAATTATTTTCTTTAGCCAGATATCTACTACTTTGTAGGTTTTACATAAACATTTTTCCCTTGAATTGTTCAAACCGATCTCAATGGAACTCGATACACACGTCAAGGTTCGAAAATAACTTTGTTGGGACAACAAATTATTGTTGTTCAATCAAAAATGACTAAATGGTGGCGATTAAAATTTTTGTATATTTTAAGTTATCAAATGATGATAAATATTATTTAGTGAATAAGAGAATGTCATACATACTTGTATATAGCATTTAAAATTATCTATTAAACGACACCAAGTTCAAAAAGACCAAATAAAGAATTACTAAGTTATTATGATTTATATGAGTAAAATTAAGTAGATGAGAGATGTAGAGATTAAAATTCAAGGTTAATGAACATATTGCACTAGTTCTTCCTCATTTTACAACTAAAAATCGTGATATTACAGTATATCTATTCAATATTTACGAACATGGTGTAGTTCAATGAAAAATTTTAAACTCTAAATACAATAAAAAAATGTGTATTTTTTTATATGTATTTATAAAATCTTCAATTTTTTATACGCAAGAACAGAGAGCTAAGAAAAATGTCTACACACCCAGATATAGGGATGCTTTCCAAAGGAAAAAAGCTCGGATGGACAGGCTTTGCTTGGTGAAGAGAAGATACATCAACTTTCAAAAGTATATTCCAATGAGTACCACAAGGTAGACTTTGAAGACCTAGAATTTGGTGAAAAGACCAATAGTGACGAGGCAGGAATAGAAGATAATAGGAGGCCAGAATCCTCTTGAGGTTTCAGTGGCCACGGAGAGAAAATTAGGTACGGTAAGTGATAGTATGCAAAGGAAGGTGGCATAAAGCTACTCAAAACCAGTGTGTGTTCAACCACCAATCTCACTTCGAGGCTTTTAAAATCGACGCAATTCATATTTCATTGTAAAATTTTAAGATTAAACATGAATATTCTCTAGGGCTTTAATCGGATTAAAGAAATATGTAGTCACATGACATTTTTGTCCAAAAAGACTTTACCGATTAAAACTGTCAGAATTTGCCTTTTTGCGTGTAAGCTAGCTGTTCTGAATTATATTCAGAGTTTTAATTGACTATTCGATTCCAGTACGTAGGACGGGCCAACAACTCATCTACATTAACTTACAAAAAAAAATGTAAGCGTTTGAGTATACTTGAAACTTTTTAAAGGAAAGGGTTTCCCATGGGATTTTTTTTCTGTGGAAATTTGAGTTGGCAACAATGTTGCGAATGCGCGTAGACAGACAGGGCTACCAGTTGGGGGGAGAGGATCAAACGATCAGTCTGTGTTGTGCTGTCGTGGTGGGAGTTTGTGGGATCGTGCGGAATACCTAATGTAGCGCTCTCAAGGATTGTATACTTGTAGCTCATTGTGAGTATTAAGAGTATACAAATAATAACTCAATATGTATACGACGTGTAAGAATGATAGACAAAAATAGGTGTCACTTTTAAGAGAAAAACATTGATATATGTTTGCTTTGTTTCCAATGGGATCTTAAGGATTCGCGACTTAAAGATACTGTCTTGAATTAATTTCTTGCAACATGTGTTTGGCATGTCAAACATAGCTTTTATAGTAATTCCATATTGTCATCATAATATTTTTTTATACCACTAATCTGTAAATGCGTAATTAACACATTTTTACTTTTATTTATTAAACAATTTAAATATATAACTTGACTGTTGAAAATATTTGTTCATGTTTAATATTTGCTTTACATACCAAATATAACAAAAAAATTCTAAGTGTAAAAATATTGGGATTTCGTTTACATAACTAAACATTTCTTAAAAATCTTAAGGCCTTGATTTACATTAATTAAGCTGAGATGCAATAAAAAAATAGCAATGTTACTTGAATAGTGCACTATAGCAAGATATCATTAATTAACTGTTATGTAAATTTACTTTCTCAAATTAAGAATACAATAACAAATGTAAATGAATATAATTTCTCTGCTCTAAAAATCAAATCAATAATGTAATGTATTCATATAATTTTACATCCTAGGCAATTACATAAGTAACAAATGTCTGAAAAACAGTAGTATAAATTAGTTACATAATCCGATGTCCATAAAACCTTTTTCAATACTCTCATATTATTTTACGATTAAATAATCTTTTATTACCGACTATTGGCATAGGAATACATGTTTAGTAGTTACTAACATACTATACAATATATACAAATAGCACCTTTAGTGTTGGTGCCACATTATGGTTAGGCATAAAATAAAAAATAGAAAAAATAAATAAAAAGTGTTTTTATTTATGAGTTCGAGGCTTAAAAAATTTCATTTGATAGCCTGCTTCATTCAAAATCTCTCATTGGAATGTTAAAGTGATGTAGGACTTTTCATTTGACCGCGCTATCCGCAATGTGCTTTTAGCGTCACAGCATAGCTAAATAAATCATTGAATGGGAATTTTTCATCCTCTCTTCTACTGTTTTTTCCAGGGTACAATTCTGAAAGGTTTAAATAGCCTCATTTTAGTTACAGTGTAAGAACAAATACTTTTGGACCAACAACTGGGTAAAGATAGAACTTCAAAATCGTTTGGTAATGATTTTTGCTTACTTCCGCGTCAGAGACTATGTCAATCGTTTATAAAAGTGGTTGGTTTAATCCTTCTTATTGCTTTAGAATTTTAAACTGTTGTTTGACTCAAAACTTATTAAATTATAATTATTATGTTAAAAATGAAAGAATTGAGGTGTTAACCTGACAAGAAATATTTCACGATTTTTCAAAATCAAAATGTTTTTGTTATAATTTCCTTAATATACAGGATTGTAAATTCAAAGCAAAAACTCTTGTACATGATGTTATTAAACTTTTACATTTTAAAGAATTTTACCTTTTTAGTCTACCTGTCATTGAGGTAAAATGTTTAACAAACACAATACTGTACTATTACTGTCGATAATTTTAAGGTTTATTTTTTTAATGCCAAGTGTAAGAAGTTAACTTTACAATAAAGGCGTGTGCAAAGTTATAGCTTCTGAAAAAATTAAAACGTAATAAACTAGATTATGTAATACTGTACATATGTTTGAGTAAGTTTTCTAAACAAATTAGACTATTTATTATTTTTAACATATCAAAACTATTAAAACATGGTTTGATTTCAACTGAATAGTAGAAGATAAAATAATTATATCTTCATAAGCAGATTTTAGCGAAAACCTAAGTTTTTATGGAAACACTGCGGTTTACAAAAAAAATGGCACCACTGTAGTAAAATATTATTATTTAAATTACACGGCATTTAATATTCAATTCTACTATACCATTGCGAAATTAATATTTATATTGAAAATTGAAAATGAGTGTGGAATAAAATTTCCCTTGGATGTTTTGGTTGGTAAGATATTAAACAACGCCTTAGTTATTGTATTCAGCGTTTAACGTTTTGTCCATAACATTTGTTTGGTTAAATATTTTACCTACGACCGTTTTTTAAAGTAGCTGAAAAGTTTCATACTCAAAATTCTACAGTCAAAAAGGTTGACATTTAAATCTTTTTACAAGGATGACTATAAAATAACCATAAATTGTGAATATTAATTAAATAGAAGAGTATTTTTTGTTGGCAATTTATAGACAAACGTAATGAGGCCTGAATATTAAAAATCTAATACAAAATAACCAAATATCACATGTTTGTGCGCGCCTAAGAGAATATGTCAATGTAAGCTTGCTAAATCGTCTACACAATGTGATAGCAAGAATCACTGAATCGTTTCATGAGCACTAGTACAAAACGCATCACTCTATAGGAATTGCAAAAAAATCCCTTTAAGAGAGTCATTAATGGGAACCCCTACCTTTTACCCATAAAACTCCGTTCCCATAACAGATCATGCTGGTTTACGAACTCGTTTCAATCAAAGTCGGTTTAAACGTTTGTACCTAATTTTATTGGAATGAGAAAAGGAAATCGGTCCCGGGTCCTATGGTTAATACCTACGGTAATAGGTTATTCCCTGTATGGGGAATTCGCTAAACCAAAATATAGGCTTTGAACTATTCATACAAATATCTGTTATATCCTACATCCTAAGTCAAATACTATTCACTCACTGATCACTGTATCTTAAAAAAACACAAGCGATAAAAACTCAGGAGTTGGCATGGAGGTTCCAATCAATGTGTGCACTAAGAAGCGTTTTCAAGAAATTCCATCAGGGCTCTGCCCCAGTAGCTTTTAAAGTTGCCATGTTGTCCTCCATGGAGAAAAGATTTCTTTACATTTGAACACATAAATACTTTTAAACCTGCACTATTAACTAAGGGAACACCTACAATCAAGAAGTGTAGGCCCTACTTATTTGAATATTTATTTAACTATTTTCGTGAGTGAAGCCGCGACGGGTTTGCTAGTTATGTAATAAAATAGGCCTATACAATACATTTATAAGGGTTTTCTTGTTAACATTTACTTAAATATTTTTATAACATTAATTGTTTTTTTTTAGTCATATTTTGTACACGAAAGTCATAATTCACTGGAACTGTATATCTGTTTACACATAAATGTATTTTCAGTGAGATTTCCCATACAATCACTTTAACCGTGATAGCGAACCCCCCGCGACAACAAGCTCAATTGTTACATCCTATTTACCTATTTGCTTTGAGTGTGTGCTTTGTGTTGTACGATATACGTAAGTGTTATCTGATACAATGAAGTATGAAATGTGTGCAGAGTCCTTTTGTTTTGTTTGTAAAGTTGCCAGGTAAACAAATATTTTTTTTTTTTTTTACTTTTTCATAGATACAATAGTATATTTCGTACCTAGGGCCGAAAATGAGGTTTTGCCGGCTCGAGATAGTTTTTAAGTTCGAGACGAAGTCGAGAACTTAAATCGATCGAGAGCTGCAAAACCATTTCGGTCCGTGGTACGAACACTATTTTTCACCACACTTTACCCTATTACCACTATTCACCACTATAATAATGCACACTGATAGTCAACACAACTACAACTTTAAGGTTATGTGAAGAAATAATTTGAGGAATCAGCCAAAATAAAAATAAATAGTTGCTAGGCAACGGTGACAATAACACAATTCTATTGCAATGCTATGGATTTTGATTGTGTATTTAAAATGCATTCATGTTTTAAGTAAGTAAGCGGACAGCTGATTTTGCGGCCCCGGCCTGTAAAAACCTGCTCGGTCCCCAAATTATGGACAGCTGGCATCGCCAGCAAAACGTAACTTTCGGCCACCAATTAACGTATGTAATACAGCCAAAAACATGATAGTGTGGTGAAAATTATATTACAATAGATATAATAAGTCTTAAACGATAATTTTACGGGAGAATTTGTAAACTTGGTTGAAATGAGTTTTAGAGAAGAGTACTTCGTTGTTATTTTTGTATTCGTCATTATCAACCCCATTGGTATTGTTACTGGTACTGTTACTTTGCTGTTGTTATTTTATACAGTAACAACACTTTGTGTTTTTGTTGAATACCAAACTATCCCAAGTATGCAATGTTGACTTTTTTGTTCTGATTTGACGGTGTATTGAAAATGATATCTATGACCAGAATCAATTGTTTATCTTAAAATAAGGGAATGTTTATGTATGAATATATATATATATTGAAATTGTATTACACTTAAAAAATTGGAATGGGTATTCACCACATTTTTGTAAATTTTAACATGGTTAACACAACTTTAACAATTTAAATACAATGTTTTCCAGGCATATTCTCTAGATTAACGGGTTACTTATCTCAATGTATTTCAGTAGTCAAATATCTATGAAGTTGAGCTTCTGAACGGTAGTATGAACACAAAGTATGACTAACAAATTTAGAATAAATGTACAAGTAGTATTATTCCACTTGCTTCACTTGAACATAAACTGATGAGCAAGAAAGTATAATAGTTTATGAGTACTGCAAAGTATTTAATCACAAATCCAAATATAAAAAATAAATTGCACAAAGCAATATAAGCTGTAAAATAATATTGGCAAATCAGTTTTTTTTTATTTTACTACCCAACGAAAATGTGTTAACAATTCTAAGTAAAATTTTTATTTTCTTATATTTTATTAGTTGTAGTATACGATCCTGTACCACTACCTACTATACAAAATAACGAACAAACCTATTTACTAAAGACACATTCAATAGAGAGCAGAATTAAGCAAGCAACGTTTAGGAGGAACAATATTAAACTAAACAGCTTTTAACCACCATTTATATTCCAACCAGTTGCATGCTTTCCGCTTGCTAGCTAAACTGTTTACCTTTAGTAATGATTTAACAACTACAATAGTTAGTTTCCTATCTTATATATTAAAACATGACAGGGTTTTTTTTTATTTCACGATTCTG